GTACGATAAAAAACTTAGGAAAAGACGATAAAAACTTTCAGGTGACAACAAGTTAAGTACGATAAACACTTAGGAACAGTCGATAAAAACTTGCAGGTGACAAAAGTTTTTGACAGTCGCATTTTCTTGAAACTTTCGAGGAAAATGCGACGCAGTAAAACGGAGACATTGATTTGTAGGGATCGTTTCCAAGTGGAGGATTTTTTTGGAGCGATCACTTGGAATGTTCACCAACAAACAGGCGCTTGACCAACAAAAAGTCGTTTAAACCGATTGCTTTTGTTACTCTTTCCACGGTTAATCTTCTGACCTTGAAGAAGGATTCATATTCTATGAATGTATTATATATATACACACACATTTTCATACATTGTAATATATATATATATTATATATCATTCTGGTTGCCCACAGGACAGGTGAGGCGACCCAATAGACCAGATCTGCACCACTAGAACACGCCTGCAGCCACTCCAGTGAGTGCACACGAACCGACAACGAAGCAGTGCGAGCAATCTTCTGAGCTTCTAGATACTGCAACGCAGGCTCCATCAAAGCTCCAAAAAGGCCTTGTGCGCCAACTGGTCCTGCAGAGCCTTGAAGACGCTGCAACAAAATTCAAGCCCAGTAGCATTATCAGTAAAGGGAAATAGGACCGTTGCGTGATCCTCCTCATCGAGGCAAAGTGAGCAAGCCAGTTCCGAGTCGGGCAAGGAACACTCTGGGCCGAGCTCACACCGTAAATCGTGAGGAATAAAGCGTGAGGAAGCTGCAACCACTTACCCTCCGGCGACGCAGCCTGCACCAATGCCGGCACACAAGAAACCACAGGGTCAACAGACTTTGCACCCTTGAGCCAAAATGGCTACGGAAGGTCCAGATCATGCATTACTTGGTGCTGGATCATATTCGTGCATATGCCCGCTTTGACCGCTTGTGTGCATTGTCAACTGCCGGGGGTGTTTGGTCGTGTTCTTTTTCAGTTCTTCGTGTTTTGGACTTTCTCCCTCCTACCTTTCTTCATCTTTCTTCATGATCCTCCCCACAAACTTCGGTGCCCAAACTTCGTTCTTGACCACGGCTCCAGACCACCACAGGTCTCCGGAACACCCTGGCTCCCTCGCCTCGCCTCGCTCCGCCAGGAGCCGCCCGAGCCCCCACCGACCGAGTCGCGGCGGCGGCGGAAGTGGGAAGAGCCGCTCAGCGAAAGGGCGAGAGGTCTTGAAGGGAGACCAAGGTCGCATTGTTGGGGCGTGGAAGTCACGGGTGCGGATGGGTGCATCTTTTTTCCCCAAACAGTGTGGGCACACTGAGGGGTTCTTACGGTAGGAGAAAGGAAGCTGATGCTTAGATCGCTGAAGCGCGCGGCCGTGAACGGCTAATTCGTTGCTATTTACAGTACATTCATGCCTCTCGACATCGTCCATGTGACTTCGACTGCGCAGGCTCGCAGAATCTGAGTGTCTGCGGCGGGTGCTTCTGGCGACTGCGCTCTCGTTGTGGTGCCGTGCACATTTTCGCACACGGTGGTCACTTTTCGTGGCAGGCGAGGCTCAGATTTCGTGACAGGTGCAGTGAATCGTGACTTTTAGACATGTGGCTCGTTTGCAGATTTCGTGGCAGGCACAGCACTCTGTGACCCTCAATGTGCAGATTTCGTGGCAGGTGCAGCACTTTGTGAACCTCGAAGTGCAGATTTCGTGACAGGTACAGCACTTTGTGAACCTCGAAGTGCAGATTTCGTGGCAGGCGCAGCACTTGGTGAACCTCGAAGTGCAGATTTTGTGGCAGGCGCAGCACTTTGTGAACCTCAAAGTGCAGATTTCGTGGCAGGTGCAGCACTTGGCGAACAGGTACAGCACTTTGTGAACCTCGAGGTGCAGATTTCGTGGCAGGTGCAGCACTTGGCGAACCTCGAAGTGCAGATTTCGGTGCAGGCACAGCACTTTGTGAACCTCGAAGTGCAGATTTCGTGGCAGGGACAGCGCATGGTGAACCTCGAAGTGCAGATTTGTGGCAGGCCCAGCGCTTGGTGAACTCCGAAGTGCAGATTTCGTGGCAGGTGCAGTACTTGTGAACCTCGAAGTGCAGATTTCGTGGCAGGCACAGCGCATGGTGAACCTCAAAGTGCAGATTTCGTGGCTCAGATGCTCACTCTCTCACTCTCCCACTCTCACTCTCCCACTTTCACTCACACTCACACTCCCTCACACTCCCACTCTCACTCTCGCTCACACTCGCACTCACACTCACTTTCCCACTCGCACTCACACTCACTCACTCTCACTTACACACACTCCTCACACTCACACCCACTCACTCCCACTCGCAGACTCTCACTCGCTCTCACTCACACTCGCTCACACTCACACGCACACTCTCACTCACACTCACTCACTCTCACTCACACTCTTTCTCACTCACACTCGCACTCACCCACACTCACGACCACCCACCTTCACTCTCATTCACTCACACTCGCACTCACACTCTCTCTCCTCACTCACACTCACACTCCCTCTCTAGACTTTCTGCTTACAGGCCTTGCACTGTTTGGGGTCTCTTGCCGGGATTTTTTTTAATCCCCCAAATAGTGTGTCCGCGCTAGGGGTTCTTACAGCAACTGTGAAGGATGGGTGTCTGATCGGGGGTGCTCGCGGCCAGGTGCGGCTAATTCGTTGCTATTCACAGTACATTCATTCACCTCGAGATCTTCGAAGTGCATTTCGACTGCGCAGGCTCGCAGATCTGGCGGGCCGGCGTGGGTGCTCTGGTGGGACAGCGCTCTTGGTGTGGCGCCTTGCACATTCTTGGGCTTGGTGATCACTTTTCGTGACAGGTGCAGGAGATCCGAATCAATGGTTTTATGTCGATGCACAGATTTCGTGGCAGCCGCAGTACTTTCGACATTGTGGTGGCTTGTTTTCGTGGCAGGTGCAGCGAGTCGTAACTTTTTGACATGTGGCTCGTTTTCAGTATAATCGGAGGAATTCTCGAGGCAAAGCTGCGCTTTGGCATCTTGATGTTGTCTTTGGAAGTGCTCTTGGTGCGAATTACCTTGGCAGGGATGTGTGATGTGAATCTTGATGTGCAGATTTCGTGGCAGGCGCAGTGCGTTGTGGACCTTGAGGTGCGTCTCTAAAAGAGGTATATAACGAGCATGAACTCAGGGAACGAGCCTGTGTCGACACTGCAAAGGTCCGATGAAAGAAACCTTTTGTCAGCGTGGGAACTGCTGGATTCTTCTTACATTAGAGACGCTTGCGAGCCAAGCGTTTCCAAGGCCGCCTGTGGACTGGGAAAACATGTGAGACTCATGATCTCAGTTGATCTCAGAGACTTCCTGCATCTTGGGTGGGGTCAACAAGATTTTGCCACATGGATCATTTGATAGATTCCCATCAAACCCGGGGCCCACTCGTTTTCCATTTTTCGCTCATCCCCAGGAACAGTGGCGGCTTTGTCGTGACGCATGAAGGCGTATACATTTTCCCGTCCGATCCGCGGGGGCCTTTGGAGTGAACTTGGAAAAGCGAGACCCGAACTGGAAACGGAAGCGGATCCGCTTCCGGCCCACGGACGTGGAAGTCATCTCCAGGAAAACCAAGCTTTCTGCAGGGGGATTCCGGACTGGGTCGGTATCTGACATTGTCAGCATCTCGCAGTGATGCAAGAGAGCTTGTTCATTGAAAGGTCGATCCGAAATCCTTCCCTCTAATGACTGCAAGCGAACCTACGCGGTGGGGAACTGGCCGGACAAGACCCTGATACTGAATGTCTCATTGACAAACGCTGAAGTTGGAATGGCGTTGCTTCCTTGCCACGCCCCAAGCCACTTCCACCTAAAGTTAACTTGGTTGACAGGGAGATTTGAGGCAATTCTTTCTGTGAAAGGGCCGGTATATAAGGAGCGTTCGGGCGGATAGGGTCTTGGTTGTGAGGCGGAAATTGGACTTGGATCTCTGCATCACAACGTTCTCTTCATCTAAACCCTAAACCCTAAAACCTTTAAAAGATCATGTAAATCTCCAGGCAGAGTTGGCCCTAACTCAAGGACCCAATCGAGCCCACCCTTGCCTTCAGCAGAAACCTCAGCGCTTGCAACGTCCACCGACGTCCACCGAACGGTTCAGCCGCTGCGCAGCCCGAAAGCCGGAGCCGGAGAAGGAGGAGAAGCTGCCGATGTCCATGGCAGAGCTGGAGCAGCTCTCCGTTGGGGTCGCCAAGGGAGTAGTAGTGATGGTGGGTGGTGGTAGCAGCAGCAGTAGCCGTAGTAGCAGGTCTAGGGTAGCAGTAGCAGTAGCAGTAGCAGTAGCAGTAGCAGTAGCAGTAGCAGTAGCAGTAGTAGTAGTAGTAGTAGTAGTAGTAGTAGTAGTCGTAGTGGTAGTGGTAGTGGTAGTGGCAGTGGTAGTGGTAGTGATAGTGGTAGTGGCAGTTAGGAGTAGGAGTAGGAGTCGTGGTGGTAGTGGGCATTAAAGGAGTAGCAGTCGGAGTAGGAGTAGGAGTTGTGGTGGTAGTGGTAGTCGTAGTATTAGTGGCAGTATAGGAGTAGGAGTAGGAGTAGGAGTCGTGGTGGTATAGTGGCAGTCGTAGCAAGTAGCAGTAGCAGTAGCAGTAGTACTAGTAGGAGAAGAATAAGAAGAAGAGAAGAAGAAGAAGGAGAAGAAGAAAAAGAAGAAGAAGAAGAAGCAGAAAAAGAAGAAGAAGAAGAAGAAGAAGAAGAAGAAGAAGAAGAAGACGAGGAAGAAGAAGAAGAAGAAGAAGAAGTGGCAGTAGCAGTAGCAGTAGCAGCAGCAACAGCAGCAGGAGGAGGAGTAGTAGGAGTAAGAGTAGGAGTAGGAGTAGGAGTAGGAGTAGGAGTAGGATTAGGAGTAGTAGTAGTAGTAGTAGACGTAGACGTTCTCCTTTTCCAGTGCCCGAGCAATTTGGACCGAAGAGGTCTGCCATGTCTTTTCACCACAATCCGGCAAGAATTTAGTCTTTACCGTAGCTAACTAGAGATGTACACAAACCCCAGGAAAGTCAGAACCTTGAAATTTCCGGGCCGAGTTCCCATCAAATTCGATGCGGGTGATCAAACTTTGCTTCTTGCGCAGATGAAAGAACTGAAGCAGGTCCTCAAGGCAAATTTCGCGCTTCCGGAAGGGGCGGTGGTTAGACATGGGGGCTGACATGATCTTTCTTGGGCAAACTTCAGTGAAAGGTCGCGCAGATGTTGGAGTCAGGGTGGTTCGCAGGCTCTGTCATTCGTTGGTGTCATGCAGACTGAGATTCCGCATATTGCAGATCACCAGCAGCTGTTTCGAAGTCATGCGATCGGTTTAAACAGTTGTGGGTGGTTGGTGGTTTGAATTAGAGGTTTTATCAAGGGTCACGCGGTCACATCAAGTTGTCATAAGTCGTCTAACTTCCCAGGTTCAAGTGCTACGTACTTCTTGTGAGTCAGAGAGTGCTTGCACCCACATGAGGCAAATCACCGCCCGAAACAGCATCCCTGTGGGATCCTTGCAAGTGGCCGATGGATCGTCCGATCACGTCATGCGTTAAAGGAGACCAGTTTTATATACGAGATATATATGGTAAAAGAGTGTCTTAGATTTGACCCCTCGAAAAGAAGGTCGTTGAGTCCTTTGATTTCCGCACACCTCATATTACATGATCCCTCTACCATCTACGGGAGTCTCCAGTATGACCCCTCGACTTCGAAGACAGGACCTCGAACTCATGTTCCGCACAAACCCGTCGTCGCACCGATGATCGTCTCAGCACACCACCCGTTTTTCCGCACTTCGCACGTGTTCCGCGCCCCGGTGGCGCCTTTTCCGCGCCAGGAACATGGAGTCGACACCACTGGCTGTCGGGGTCTTGGCCTTCGGATTCGCAAGGATCGTTCGACTGGACTCGAGGCGAAGAAAAATGCCAAGACCCCGTGGTGTGGCCAGATTCTGGGCTCATGTGACGGTTGGACTCTTGGCCCTTGGCCCCAACAAAACGAAACTCTTGGCCTCTTGGGTCATGGTTCAGGGCCATTTTTGAGCATTACTCCAAAAAGCACCAAATTTGAAGGTCATTCTCTGCGCCTCTCTGATGGATGTAAATATGTAAACTCTTTCAGGCGCCAGCGGCGCTTGGCCGTTGCGGCCTTTCAGTTCTCCGCAGTTCTGCGGTCTTTTCAAGCGCTCCGATCTGCGTTGACTTGTACCCGTCGACGTGGGACAGGTTCATCCATCGCACCGCCAAATGGAGTCAGGACGGGTACCGGAAACACGACGTGCAGGAAGGAGGCCGCGTCGAAGTGGACATCTAAGGATACACCTGTAGCTTCCAACTATGCACACTTAATGCCTTTTGGATCTTTTGGCAGGTTTATAGGTTTTTTTCCTAGATGAAAAGGCGGACCTTGAGCACCATTGGAAGATCCAGGTGTTCCTTCGTTCGGTCACGTTCGCCAGCTCCTTCCCAGCCCTTCCCCCCCCCGAAAACCAACCAACCACCAATCGGGAAAGGCCCAGCACCATCTGCCACCAGCGGCAGCACCTCCATCCGCAGCCCACCCCTCCGAGGCCTTGAGAAGCCGGAGTTCTTGCAGAAGGCCATCGGGATCCGACCAGACGGGGTCAGGGTCAGTCGGAGCCCCGCCCAGGGTCGGCTCTTGGGGAGCTTGGAGGCGTTTGGTGTGTAGAACACGGGCCCTTCAGATCACCCAAAACTCCTCCTCCTCCTCCTCCTCCTCCTCATCATCATCATCATCATCATCATCATCATCGTTACCTTGTGCCATCTCCTACTGTCCTTTTCGAGCCTTTCTGTGGTCCGCCATTGTTCTCTCCTCTCAGTGGCTTCTCTGGCGGAGCTGGTTCCTAAGGAACCGCAAGAGCACCGGGCGACCCCCTTTTCTCCACGCAGCCCCTGGTCCGCCGCATGAACAAAGTTCGGTTCAGGAGAAGCGTGGATCGTTTTTATGCGGATCTTCGTGTGCAGTACTGAAGTTTGCGGGTTTTGAGGGCATGGAAGTACAACAATTTGGAGCCATGAGCTGTCTTCTATCACTGCGCAATGGGTGGGGGACTGGGGGACTCAGAATAAGAGGCACAAGATTCAGCAAATTTTCAGTCGCAAGACTTGGGATGGACTATTCATCCACTCCATGCATTTGAGATGATTTTGATTTGATGTTCGTTGTTGGGAAAACAACCCTTCAATCATCCCTGTTTTTGGTCCGCAGCCAAAAAGAAAAAGACCTTGGGGCTTGCTTCGCCCCTTTTTCTCTCCCGCAGCGACCAACCAAACCCCTATTTTTTCTCGGCGACCGGATTCCCCCATCAATGAAAAGGGGGACATCATACACAGCCATATGGCTAAGCCCATACCATGGCCTTTTTGAGATCTATGTTTCCCAAAAAATGTTTCAACCATCCATGGCTTTTTCAGATCTATCGATGTTTCTTCTGAAACCATCCTTGACCAGGCCACCCTGTCGCTGCGTCGAAACGACCAGGCCAAGGAGCGAGCGCGGACCGCCTGAGAGCCGCCACGGGTCGCCCGCACCACGGGGCGCCCGGACCCCCAAAGGGGGTGCGGTTTGTTTTGGTAGTGTAGAACAGGTGGGGGGGAGTGTGCACCTGATGTTAGGAGACGAAGGTGAAGTATTTTGAAGGGGCCCCAACACATGACCTCTGCCTTGATAGGCCGTTTGACCCTTTTTGGATCTTACAGGACCCATATATTGGGTGGTTGGTTTTAAACAGAGAGGTTACTTAAGGTGAACTAGTCAAGAAGTCTCAGCAGGAAGCAGTCCACATCTTTGTTCGCACAGGAAGGATGGATGGAGGGATGACGGAAGCGATGAAGCGACCGATTTTTGAGGGTGGCCACGGGTTTCGTTCTTTTTGGCGATCAACGAAGATGTGGTCGATGGTCCAAGGTGTATGGCAATTTGCCCTCTGCCTACCTCCAAGGATGCTTGCTTGATAACCAGTAGATGTCATTCCCAGATACATGTGTGAAATTTCGATTCCGGGGGAAGTCAGTCCACACCTGACCTTGGTCAGGTTTCGTTCCTGAGTGGAACTATCAAGCCTAAAGAGGTGGTCAACTCACTCCACGTAACCACCACGTAACGAGTGATCGTGAAGCACGGCACGAATCCGTTTGCGAATCCGTTCGGCTCCAGCAGTGGTGAAGCCGAACGCTCTCCATGTTTTGAATGGACATCACCCTCCACACATCAACGCTTCAGTTCACTGAATCGCTTCAGTTCGACCGTTTTCACGGTTTGCACGACGACTTCGTGCCGTTCTCGCCACCTTCGCGCCTCGGGTGGCGAGTAGTTCACATCTCCCGAGCCTACAAGAGGGATCTGGTCTTTTGTTCTTGCTTTGGGAAGAGGTTTTACATCTCTGTGATGGCACCTGGTAGTCGGGGTAGTCGGTTCCGCTTTCTTGGTCCAGCTTGGTTCGTGCCTTCTCAAACTCAGGATTCAGGTCGAACTCACACTTTCCAGCTTCATCAGTTCAGGTTGGGGGCAAGTCACTCAACCTTCTTGACTCTGAGGCGAGACCGAGCAGAGCTGCAGAGCGCCTCGCAGAAATGGCTCTGCTGGTGTTCGCGGGTGGGCTGCGCAGTTTTTTTGTTTTTTTTTCTCCTGCGCTTCCCTGGTTTTGCTTGAGAACGCCAAAAACTCACAATGTGAGGACCCTCTCAGTAGATTTGACCCCTCGAACACCATTCGCAAGTCATAATTTGATGCATTTTCTCCATGGCACGCGCTTTCGAACATGAATCAAGGCCCAATGCAGATGTGCAAAAAAAACACCGGGGCCTTTTTTTCGCCGTGGACACCCAACACATATCAAGGCTTATTAAGGCTTACTGTATATCTTATATTAACTCACAGGTGTTTTGAATCGAGGTCTTTTTCAGCTCAGGTTCACATCAATTTCAATCCAGGAAATCCTGGATTTTTCCATTAAGCTTAAACCATCTTAAACCTATTGATCGAGCGGTTTCCTATTGGTCGATTGAAATCCGACGTCTGCCATGAGCGCGTCTCATGTGACGCCCAAGCGCGTACGTCCTGCTTGCGGGGTTCCAGGGCTCTCGAACATAGGTCTCACAGTCAAGAAGCTTGTCACACATACATCCAAGCGTGAACAGCACCCTGGTTGTCGACTTCCTGGTTGTCGACTTGCTGCGGCATGCTTCGATTCCCTGAAATTCCTTGGTTCCTGGGTGAATGGGCATGGGGAATATATATATATATATAAATATACATTACATATACTCTATGTTGTTTTGGGTCCGGTTCCTAGGCAGCTCAATTCCACCACCTCCCACACGAACCAACCTCCTTTTGGCTTTAGAAGAGGGGCCGCGTTGGCCAGAACCCGACCGACGCATGGCTGACCCCCGACCGACGCTTCCCGGAACGTCACAGGACCGGTCGGTCGCCGATGCTCCCAGACACGACGTGTCAAGTCTGGGACTGCCAGGGACTGCCCCAGAAAGACTGGGTATAGGAACAAGAACCTTCGCACGGTGGAGGCCATCGCGCTTTTAGCTTGGAGGCCACATTCGCTACGAACGTAACAAGGTTCGCATGTTCGCTCGTAGCGATGGAGTGTTTGGGAATATATATGTTCCCCCCAACTTTCGACCGACACCTAGATATTGATGTGTTTGTTTTTCTAGTAGGTCGTTTTGGTTGGAAGTAGGGGGCCTCCCATGGTGATTTCTCAGTCCAACTGCTAAATCCATTCAACCAGAATTCAGTCAATGTCCAGCAAAGCTATGAGGAACTGTCAAGAGTCGCGTCGAGGTATTTTTTCGATTTGTGCTTTCAACTTTCACCGTTGCCTTTGGTAGCTCCTTGGTAGCTCGGTTGCTCTGATATCACTAGCATTTGGCTCCAGCCATTCAAACAGTTCCCCCACTGCTGTTTGAGCAGCCGGGGTGGCCGACGAAAAGAGATGCTTATGGTGACTATACACCGGGGCTCCAAAGAAACTGCGGAACATGTAAGGGTAACCAAACCAGAAGTGCAATCCTAAAGATGGTCCTGAACAAGGTTGTTACCAGATCTGCCAAAAACATCCAAAAAGCGAGCTGAAAAGCTCACCGAGCCTAGCAGCCTAGCAGCTAGGTCGCATTTTCTTCCATCCTACGGAAATGGCGGTCGCATCATGATGATGTTCCGCTATAAGAATAGGCATGCCCAAGAAGAAAGACCTGAAACACCTTAGATGCCGTGCCCGTGGCGAAACCTGAAACAAAGTAGAAGTCTTCTCTGCGAGTCCGTCCCGTCTGATTACAACCAAATACTTGGATGTGGACTGGACATAAACAACACATGCACATGCACACAGTTTACGCCAGTCTACGGACAATTAGATGCCCAGCTTCTTCCCTTTCCAAAAGAATCTTCCGTCTTCAGACGAGAAGACCTTGCTGCCTGTGGGCTGTCTTAGCCAAAATGGTTCCCAGACCTTGGTGGTGGATGAAGCTCGTCATTTCCATTTTCTACGTCTTTGTCCTTCTCTACAAGGCCGGCACGGGAAACTGCGTTTGAAAGCGCAAACGCCCCATCTCCTGGGGTGTGTTGTCCTGGATTTCCTGCAGTGCTGTGCCCCCAGGTGATGAAGCTCTTATGGTTCCCGGACGTGGCTCGTTCCTCCTTTTCCAGTGTTTTCAAGAACGAGGCGACTGGGCTGCGAGCCGCCCGCGCGATCCGCGATCCTGCGCCCTTTCCGTTGTGGAACAGTCGGTGGTGCCGCAGTGAGATCGGGATCGAAGGTCGAGGATCTGCACGACCGGGCGAAGCGCTTCGAATGGGCGATTCGGTTGTTTGGACCTGATAACGATCCCCGAGGTCTATATATATATATACCCAGGGAGTCAAAGACTATAAAAGGAATGGTCTTTAGGTGACACAAAGAGGAATGTCCACAAACTTCAGTCAGTGAAAATATAGTCTTTGGACTTCTAGGGTCGACCTCCCTGCGGATGTTGCACAACAGTTGTAGACTGACAGGGATTGTATGGAACCATCCCAGGGGACTCCTCCTTCAAGTCACTCTAACCCTGCATCCAACCTCATGATCAGTCATTTTGTGGCACAACAGATATTCTCACTGATCATCTCTAGGTCACCCTACTAGCTCGCCACTTCTGGTTTCTCTGAGGATCTCAACAGGGATCAGTGTTTAGGTGAACCCAGTTTGTGAACATGTCTTTCCATCCGGACAATCCAACACTTTTTGTGGGGCCGCCCAGGCGCGGTCTGGATCAGAAGCGCACGTGCGCACTTTTGCGCAGTTCCGAGTGATCCCAAAGTTTGCACCCCCACACCTCTGATCCTCATCCTCATCCTCATCCTCATCCTCATCCTCTCTCTCTCTCTCTTAGGTTGGAGGCCATTAGGTTGGAGGCCATCGCAAGGAGGTTGGAGGCCACTACAATTAGGTTGGCCTCTCTTCTCTCTCTCTCTCTATCTCTCTCTCACCCACAACTCTCTTTGGCATCCTCGCCGAGCTGATCTACCACCACCGGTGGGCTGATCCAAGGACAGAGCGAGGAAGATAAGTGTTTCCTCCGTCATCCCAAGCGTGCCATCGTCGAGCATGGAGAACTTAGGGGTACCCGAGGCGGGGTACCCCGAAGGGGGTGGAACAGGTGGGGAAGTGGACGAAAATCTCTTCCTTGGGAAGGAGAATGGGCCAGTTTTTGAAGGAATTTGTTAGATTATATAGATCAAGCCTGACGTTTAGTCGTCTTGGTAGGAGAAGCTAGTTTGTGAAGGTGTGTATGTGACCGTGAGAGTTGATAAGAGTTGCTAAGAGTTCAGTTCATGCTTTGGGGGATCTCAACTGGCTGGGTGACGGCAAGATTGATGTATAGCTGGTAGTTGCTCGAAGGGAGCAAGCCCTTCATTGCGGGATTACTGTATGGATTTCATTTGGGGGAAGGTTTCGCCCTTGTCTATTTCAACATGGAAAGTGGACGGCTGCAATGGCTCCTTAGAAGACTTCCTTCCTGTCGAAAGAGTGGGCAAACTGGCTTAAAACGATGATCAAACTTGAAGGGCGCCTTTGTGATGGGAGATGTCCCCAGTACCTATTTAGAGGAATTGCCACGAGCAGTTAAGCTTTTCCCAGAATGAAGAGCTCAGACAACATTGAGCAGTAAAGTTTTATCCGGAAAAAACACATCGCTCATTTCGCTTTGAATGAATGGAGTCAGCCGTTCCAACGAGTCCACCTGGCAAACCATCAGACGAGACCTGAGACCGGCTAGCACAGGGTTTGGCTGGGTAGTAACAAGTGCATCGCTACTAGTGCATTACTACTAGTAGCAAATAGCTACTAGTGGCTTCTTGCTACTAGTAGTAATGCACTTGCTAACTGTTACATTGTTTTCCAAGGTGGGGGACTGCCTTTCCAGTGACTTGTTACACTCCGATTGGAAGCGTCCTGTCTTGGTGTAAGACCATGAGTCTCATGCCCCACCCCCGTCGGAAAATGATTTGGGCGGGTGCAGCTGACGAAGTAAAGCATCCCCAATTGGAGGAATCACGTTCCAACAACACCTTTGATGCTTAGGTGATGCATTTCCATAAACACAAGAGTCTCATCTTCTTACCAGGGAGACTCCCACAGGCAACGAAACCCTGGAGAGAAGAACCTGGCCCAGTCTACCCAGTTTGCCGGGTGCTTCTCCACCCTCGGTCTCAGATATCCCCTGGCCCTGGCGCCCTGGGTAGACTGGCCCCAGACAAGTGGCTGGGACTCGGAACGCTCCAAGGGATGTCTGCGGGATGCGACACACCCAGATCTGACTGTACCAGACGGTGGAAATCGATCGATCGATGGGTCGACGACCCGTTCGACTCCCAGGTTCTCCGGGGGTTCTTAACACACCGAGTCCCGACGGTCTCGACGTGCGCGAGCGAGCGCACAGATAGCGTGCGCGCAAGCCGTGCTCGATAGGAGTTGGACCGCTTTCGATCCACCATGGCCTACACCTCCCTGACGTTCATCGTGGCGCCCTTCTGTGCGCTGACCACGGTCTTGTCACTCTTCCAGGACGGGGCACGTCGTCGTCCGAAAAACCCACACGGTTGGACCGTGTGTGGGAAGACGTGGAGGGTTGGAGCAAAAGAGAAGCCAAGAACATTCGCGGTTGACCTACTTTGTGAGAGCAAATCTGGGGTTTAGGCCTAACCATGGACAGCATCACGGGGGTTCTTCCATGGGTTGACCAGGTTGGCATATGTTGGCGAAGGAAGACTCGTTGGCCCACGACCTTCGTTTTCCACGCCGACGCCGTGGTACACGAGGTGCGAAGAAGCACGGTTCCCAGCGGTGCGAAAAGCGCGAAGAAGGGCGGTTCCCAGCATAGCACTGGACAGCAGCCGGGGGGTGAGGTGAGTTGAAACACCCGGCCAAACTGGGGCCATTTGAGTCACGAAACGGCCATTCCTTTTCGATTGGTGCAGATTCTGTGTCACAGTGAGGGCCAAAAGACTGGTGAGCCGGTTTTGTTTCGAATTGTCCCACTGAACTCCTTGGGACCCCTCTCCGTCGTCTCTTCGCCTTGTTGAACACCTGCCGTCCAAACCGGATGCCGTGCCGGAGCACCACACGTCCGCCCCCCCCCCTCGATGGCCAGGCACCCACCACGTCGCCCCCCGCCACGTCGCCCGTGCGTTCGCCGTGGGGCCGTGGCACCGAGCGTTCGACCCGGTTCGGCTCGATCGACCCGGTTCGGGCCACGTGGGCCTTTCTCTTCCAAACCGACCCGTGTTGTCTCGGTCTTGGTCTCGGTCCGACCGGTGTCCGGTGTGAAAACGGAAACTCCGAACCGCGGGGGGATGGAGGTCGACCTCGGGGTTCGGTTCGGGTCAGTTCCGTGGTGTGGTCGGGCCACCACGCGGAGGACCTGGAGGGGATGGAGGCCAGTTTGACCTCCGGCGGGAGCAATGCCATCCCCTTGTTAGTGATCTTGGTGCTCTGGTTCCGACAAGATCGTGCCTTGGTCGGAAGCCTATGCTAGCCAGCGACCACTCCAGTGCTTGTATGCAGTTCTTCTCCCATTAAACAGGGAGCCCCGACAGCTGGGGATACTAGGGAGGGAGCTGTTTCGTTGGCGGGATCGTTTTGGTCGGAAGCAGGGAGCATTCCTTCTTAAACCCGTTGGAGAAGGAACGCTGGCACCGTTTTACTCCGCTGGGTGCCGAAAGAGAGTCATATGAAGCCACTCGAGTTTTGGGACACTCCTCCGATACCGACCTTCGGGTCGGGTGTCCGCCTGGTTGGTCAGTTGCGAGACATCCACCTGCCATCGATGAAGTCCAACCCCTTTGAAGCCCTCTTTCGATTAGAAATCCGGATCCGGAAGGAACCCCGTTTGCCATGTCGGAGATGCTGATGGCTTGCCCAACTGCTGCCCAGATGGTTCTGGATTCCACACCCACTGACCCGAACTAAGAGCAGCTGGAATGGATCGCTTGGCCTCGTCACTAAACAAGATCAAAAGATCTGTTCTTGCAGGTTCTAGCCCAAAAGGTTGCATTTGGTGCTGAAGTCGGTGTTTGATAGATCTACCACAAACGAATTAGCCGCTAGCCCGTAACTGTTCGAAACCATCTGTATCTCAGGCCTCCACCTGCACTCTCTTCCTCACCATGTATCGCTTCCGCACCAAAAGAAACAGAACACTCATCCTTCGAGCTTCCGAGCCAAGCCTCTGAAGAGGCCTTCCCTTTCAGTGGCGTTTGCGCATCTGGCTCTTGCTGGCCTCTTGGTTCTTAGCGGTGCTTTTCATTGATCTGGTTCAAAGGGATTGGCACCTCGATCAGCCCCTCGGACAGACGCTGGCAGTCGGTTGGGGGTGTGGTGCATGTGATGTTTTGTGGAGTTCCAGAGCCCATCGCATGCTTTTTTTGTTCCAACTGCCGCAAGGCTGCAGGAGAAATCAGTGAGAATCCGAGATCAGCTGCTGAACTATGACTATGTATGTCAAAAGTATTGGTTGACCAGTCGATGTTTTTTGACCTCTTCCCAGACTCTTTTGGATCCATACAGTGTTTGACAAACAGTTCTGATTGGTCTTCATCTGGCCAGGTTCAAAGATTGCCTGAAGGGGGGAACCTCCCACTGAAACCATCAAGGTGGGCAGAAAAAGAGCGGTTTGGGAGACTCCCAAAGTCATCAACTTTCTGACTTTTCGGATTTGCGCGTAGGTCACGAGAACAGTGCAGCGCCTGGCATGAAGCTGCCACATGAACCACCAGCCAAGCCCCATGCGAGGTAAAGCTGGGTCAACCCCCTCGAGCAAAAGCACAGCAACCAATCAATGAGCCGTGCGCCTGCACAAGCAGGAAAAGACCAGTATTGGTGCGTGAGGATATTTCTGCAGCACACAGGTCATTCTGTATCCACATCCCACTCTCACTGCCACACCTGGAAGGAGACGCTTCCACAAATTTACTATATATATTTGTTTGCACTTCCACATCTCAAAGCCTTTTCTCGCTGCCGTTCCACTCCAGAGTGCCTTTTTTCAAGCAACCATAAGCGACCCAAGAATCACCTCTAAGCTGTTGGCCGCGTCGTCGTCGTAGCGGCCCAGGCATCAAGTCTGTCGATCATTGGCTCTCGTTGGTACCCTCAAAGCTTTTGAATACTATAGGGTAGACACTCCATGTATGCCATATATGCCTACATTGACCTCCCAAACCACCCCAATGTAGGCATCTGTGGCATACATGGAGTGTCTGGGTAGGGTAGACCTCCCCAAATGGGAAGACCTTTCAGTCGAACTTCTGGAAGAAGGAACCATTGGAAGAAGGTGTTTATATTGTGTGTATTCAAATACACACCCCAATAGGGGTCCCGAAGACGCTGACACTTGAAATCTGTGGTCTGCGCTGGTTTCAGGCATGCCGGATCCGAGCCAATGCCACTACATCGTTCACTATCTCCAGCCATGTCATGTAAACAAAACCATCCAGATGTCAGCAGGCCTACCTCGGTGCCTTCCTGTCAAGTCCTTGTGAACGCTGGAAGAAAGGCCAGCTTCACATCTGCCGTTTGGTCTTGGACCCTCCGAAACCAGAAAAAGCTTTCAGCTGAGGACGCGGTCCTTTTTGGACGCCTGTCCCCCCGAGTGCTCGGGTGTGGCATTCCGCTTGAGTTCCTGCGGTTGGAGCGGTTCGTGCTCCACAAACACCCTTGTCTTTGTCCAGACTTTGGCGTTTGCCTGCTCGGATTGGAGTCCCGAGTCTGGAAGTCGTGCCCCAAGTCATGCCGCGGCATCCCACCACCACCACCACCACCACCACCACCACCACCACCACCACCACCACCACCACCACCACCACCTAACAGGACACCATGTGAGTCCTTCGGTTTCGAACAGAGGGCAGCTGATGCGACCGGACGGTCCGACGCGCGTCAGGCAAGGCTTGACGCCCCACGCACGCAAGCTCCGCCTGCGGGGTGTCGTCGGTCCAGATGATCGGGGCTGTGTCGGTCGATGATTCAAACGATAGAAACGGTGTCGAAATAGATAGAAACGGTGTCCAATGCATGTTGAAAAGGGTTTTACTTTTCTATCTCTTTGGGGGTCTATATCCTCCACGGATCCACCGGATCCACCGGTACCTCTCTTTGGGCGTCCGAACGGACCCGACAAGACCTGCGCCTACCGTCCTTGAACCGTTTGTGTCCTCACCGTAGCGACCTGGTGGCAGTGGATCCATAGGGTCACAGATGGACTCTTGATTGATCAAAGAACCTCCAGACATCCCCAGACTGTGTTGTCGGTGGGTTTGGGGGTGTGACCACAATCAAAAGCCTACATTACATGATGAAGAACCACAGGTTTTGGTCAAGATGCATCACCGCTTTTTCCTGTGGATGATGGAAAGCTGGACCCACCCCATCGCGCGCGTGTCATACTGCTCACGTCAGCCGCTCGTTCTCTCACGAGGAACGTCTGGTTGAACCACATGGTGTTCGTGATGCTGATCTCCGCTTCTTTGCAACTGCCGAAACTTCTCATTTGGTGTAGTGCATCGGTGCATACGGCAGGCTTTCTGACCATCACCATCTTAGTGACCGAGGACGGGCTTTCAGGGGGCAGGTGCTGCAGGGTTGCCCGGAGACACGGTCCGAGTTGTAAAGGCCGTCAGGAGCTGAGGAGGCGGCTTCGTTCGAGATGGGGGATGGACTTTGTAACGGACACGAAAAACGAGGGTCAATGGTGTTTTTTTTGGAATCCGAGTGTATAGGCATATACATGGCATATAAGCATAATATGATGGAGTGCCATGCATATACCAACGCCTCCCCAAGGCCGGCCTCCCAACGCTCAACGTCTTACTTAGCCCTGCAAGGAGCGTCCTCGTCCAACACGCTTCGTTCCCCCCGAAACCGGTCCTCCGACGGTCCTCCGTGGGAACCGTCTGGGCCAAGTGACCGGGGACGACCCCCTATCTGAAGCGTTTGGCGTCTGGACCAAAGCAGGCGGAACGGAAGGGAAAAGCCTTCTCTGAAAAGCTTGTTCATCCCAATGTCGCTTACTGGCTTAGAAGCACCAATCCTTCAAATCCTTACAAGCAAATACTGTAGAATACAATATATACGATGTTTTTTGGCGGCCTCTTCTGACTCTTTTGGTTCAGGAAAAGCTTCATAGCTTAGCTGGCCAATTGCCCATCCAACAGCACAGAAACCATGTCAGATGCTTTCTCAGGAGCAAGCGCCAAGTATGGGACTTCAGATCTTCCTCTTTGTGGTCCTGGCCATGACCACGGAGTACGCCAGTGTGCTGACCACGGCCAGCACGGATCGGGTCAAGGCGAAGCTCGACTACAAGGAGGCCAAGATCAAAGCAGAACGCTATGAGTATGAAGCCATAGACGCTTGGAGTGGCAGAGTGACACAGACGACTTGGAGCTGCCAGTAGGGTCTTCCAGCGCCAAAACATATCAAAGGACCTGAAATCTTCAGCCTCGGACAATTTGATACAATTTGAGGAACCAAGAGGACAGGTTTTCTGCAGACTTGGAAGAGCTAGGAATGGATGTGGGTTGAGGCTGAAGGCCCGCAAGACATGGGACATGAAGGTTGAACAGTATGAGCAAGTGCCCTCATTCTTTGGATGGGTGGCCAGGAGTCCTTGTCCGATCATAGGTTTGTAAGCTGACACTTAGAGAAACATATGAAGTAGCATCGATGCTTTTCCATGTGGACCTGCTAGCAGCACTATCACAACCACAAGCACTACCACGACCTTCAGCCAGGTGGCCGACGTGACGGTGCGCGAGGAGGCGGCCCGTGCCGAGATGTTGGAGGCCAAAGCGGAGGCCATTGCCTCGGTTCAAGAATCCTTGATGCTCGGCTCTGATCGACGGTGGGAACGGACGGTCTTTCAGACATGGGGAGAAGTGCGGAGAGGGAGGGATGGGATGCCGATGGCCATGTCGGATGCCATGTCGCACTGCGAAACTTTGCCACCTGCCAGTTCTAACATCTTGCTTGTTTCTACCCCCTGGTTTCCTCCCTGGTCGTCCCTTCCTGTCGTCCCTTCAAATCGCCGGCCAATTCGCCGTCCAGGATGTCCTTGCTGACCAGTGTCTGTGATGCGGTGGTGCAGCTGGATCACGAGATGAAACTGGTGGAAGCGAAGGCTTTGAGCATTTTGCTCTACCAAAGCACTTCACCCGATCTTACAGGCGCCTCCGGCCTACTTGGGGGGGGGCCGCTGCTATTGTGTGGGGGGGTGTGCGGTCCATTCTTTGGGGCTGTGGAGCGCCTCGATTTTTGGGATGAAGCGTCACACCTTTGAGGTTAGAGATTTCAAGACGGACTTGGATCCCAAGGCGCTCCAGGGCCTCATCCCACTTTGCAGCTCATCCTGCTTAGCATGCAAAAATGGTTGGGAACGGTGTTGTTGACTGCACAACCCATGTTTGCCACTTCTCTCACCAACAAGGAATTCGTCTTCTCTCATTTATATAAGCCACAACCAACACCTCCCAAGTGCAAGGTATCGCAGTCTTGTCATTTTTTCCATGTGGAGAATCATCCCCTATCGGCACAGGGCAGAAAGGATGTTTTACCGCCCAGACAGACACCTGAGCATCGAAAGCATCCAGCCTCGATGGTTCGTTCCTCCCATCGAATCCTTGCCGCTAAAAACGGGCAGTGGGCGATTTTCCATGTCTTCACAGCGTGGCTTCAGGACATGTCTTCACTGATCTTCTGTCCAAGCAGGACCGGGACCTTTTTGATGAGCTCCTGGCTCGAGTGTCACCCGATGAGGGGAAATCCTCCTTTGCTCGGATCACGCTGCGGGGCTCCTATGAGACTCGGGGCGAAGCCAACATCGTTTGCTTTCGTTCCTTTTTTTCTCTTGGAACTTATTCTTCAAAGTCCAAGATAAGCTTCAAAACAAGTTTGTTTTTTTTTCTTCGCCGAATTTGAGTCCATCTGTGACATTTTGCATAGATCAGAATGCCACACTGCCCAGTGAGCTTGGTTGAATCATGAAGTTTTCAAACATTTCTCCACATCCACCTCTTTTTTTTGCAACCCCGCTGGTGTGTTGGTTCTCATTTCGCCCGCCTTCTTCACCGAACGACGCCGCCGCAAACGCGCAGTTTGCGCACCAAGGACGTGAAGATTCCGGTGACGGCGTATGTCTCGAGGCTTTCCAGGCCCAATGGAGAGAACATGTACTTCCTCGGCCTCTCGGCGACTTGGACGAGAATGGAAGGCGTCGATTCGATTACCCACGTACCGACGTTAACTGGGCACTAGGCACGGGTGGCCTTTGCACTTGGAAGCGTTGGTCCCCAGTAGATCGAAAAGGCTTTTTCAAGGGACGTTGGTTTGGAACCGGGGAGTCACAGCATTTGATCTATTTCAATTCTCTTCAGCGACATAACCCTCCTTCGTCGCTGCATGTGGCCACCGGAAACTCAATGTAGGGACTAGTTCCTGGCTTAGCGGACATGGAGTTTCCAACATGGAAGGGTGGATGGGATAGCCCGAAAGGTACGGAACCCTGAGTTTCAAACAGGGTCGTGCCTTTAGCATTTTTGCTGCAATGAATGGCATTGAATGAAAAGCCCCCCCAACAACTCAGAAACTTGAATGTAAAACCGACCTGAAGTGGTTTTTGGCTACAAAGCAGTGGTCTTTGGTTTACAGCTTGGTCAACTCGGGTGGCCAACCTACTAGCGATGGCCTTCAACCTAAATAGCGATGTCCTCCAGGAAGACCAGCTGGAAGATTGGTCCTCACGTGGGCAAGGACCTGAACCAGACGCGCCCGACATCGCCTCCGCTTTTTGGCTGAAGTGACTTTGAACGCGCGCCCGACATCGCCTCGCGCACGCGGAGGTGTATCTCTTTCCATTGGGCTTTGCAGGAGGATGCGACGACGGTTTCCAAAACTCTTCAACTCCACGGAAACAAGATGGACCCTTAAAATCTCTTTCAAAAAGCCACTACGTAGTAGATGAGAACAGCCTTACAGGGTGGTAGATGAGAACAGCCTTACAGCCTTACGGGATCGTCGGGATGGGGGGTGTGAACCACCCGCGTCGGACCTTTCCTGATCGGTCGTGTCAGACCCTGATTGGACTTCTGGACATGATGTCATTCGTTCGTAGGACATGGTTTAATCCATGGTGGTTTTGTGGGTTTCGGCATTGCCTGTTTGTAAGAAAACACATTGGTACTCCAGGGGCCTATTGGACAAATCTCCGATCATTTCAGGGAGTGTAGGATACTCAACAAGTGTGTGAATATGTGTAATAATGTCTTTAAAACTGATGCACATGAGTTGCACGCTCCCTTAGCATAGCTGTTCCGCCTGCGTTGCTATGGCTGCTCCAAAGAAGGATGTCATCCATGGATGTCATCAGAGAAATATAGAACATGGCCCGGGTGTTTGAACACTTGTGGACTGGCCCCTGTTAGAAGGACCTTTGTTAACGTTGACCCTTCGTTGACCCTTCCAGGAGTCATTGCGAACTTGACCCCGTTCTGGCAAACTGGAGTCTGCTGGGACACGTCAAAGAATGTTGGAACACATGTCAGGAGGCACGCAATACCAGATGCCAGCACAACATGCCAGAACAGATGTCAGAAAACATGCCAGAACACATATTAGAACACATGTGAGAAGATGTGTCAGACGAATGTCAGAAGAAATGGCAGGCACAAGGTGACAGAAGTCACGTCAGAACACATGTTAGGCCAACTGTCGGAATATGTCGGAACATATGTCACAACAGATGTTGGAACAAATGGCAGGTTTGATTGCAGAACAAATGTCGGAACACATCAGAGCCGAAGTCGGACCATCTGTCACGACACGTTTCAGAACACATGCCAGGATTGATGCCGGAGCACACACCAGACATATAATTTCCCACATCCTATGTCAGAACCCATGTCAAAGGTAACCGCAGCACACATGTCAGAACACATCTCAAAAAGGCAGTCAGAACAGATTCCAGAACGGCCGTCCCAGCCTTTGGGCCAACAAACATACCATACCAGACTTGATGCCAAAATGCGCATGTCTGGCAGCGTTTGTCAGGAAGTCATAGTCCATCACGACATGTGCCCTGCCTTCCGAATCGCTGCCCAGGGTGGGGACCACTGGAGGAAAAAACCGTCGTCTTCTTGTTTTGTTTCATGTTGATTTCGGGTTCGCCGGAAAAAGCCGCGTGTACCTCGCCACTTTGATGTGGACACGTGTGCCCCAATGATAGATGACGCGGACTCCACGGGCAGAAAACGCCCAGCACCCATGCGATGTGGAAGGTGTGGTGCCCAGCACCATGCGATGAAAAACATGGGGGTTCTCACCCTTTGCACCTTCATGATCGACACATCCACCGTCCATCATCCACTTCCCGTGCCAACGTTTTTGAGTCGTTCTTGGCCGTTCTGAGACCTCCCTGAATGAGAACTTACCCTTCAGCAGCTTGCTGCGCGAGGACGGGGATTGAATCCGGGTCCAAGCTGGCGTTTCAAGAGGGGAAACCCCCCCCTAAAGAGGTCGGACCGATGCAGCGGTGAAACCGGGAGGACGGTTCTCAACACCCGCGGGACGGCGGGACGGCGGGTGGCGCAAGCAGCGAACACGCGCGAAGGACGGGTAGCGCGTGGCACCCTTCGTAGTGCTCTTGAGCGAAATCCTCAAGTCCCTTTTCCCCCTTCCCGTCTCCAGTGGTTCACTTCCTGCGAAACCAAGAACGCCGCACCTCTTCGCCAGCGCCCAAGACTCACGCCCAAAGCACCGCCCCAGCGAGGGGGTTGGGGTTGGGGTTGGCAGAGCGGCAGTGTCCTCCTCGACTCCGTTTCACCGGACCGGTCGAGCCGCGTCAAAACGGCGAGGAACAGGCCCAAGCCATGGTCTCCTTCTTATGGACCTGGCCACTGGCGCCGAAGAAGGAGCGATGCTGTGAACTCCATGCGGCCTTGAAAGAAGCCGCCGTGCCTTGGATGTGCGAGCTGGTTTTAAGGGGTTCCGGACAGGGAGAGGACATGATAGGATATGAATATAGGACACTCCAAGTTGTTGGAGGTGAAAACAATGGTTTCCTGCAGTTTCTGTAGATTTTCCCTTACAAGAATTCAGTGGGCTTGGGAAGTGCTTGATGATTGGGCCGAGCTTCGGCGTAGCCCTTTTCTTTCCATATTCCAGGCAAAGAACATCGATGAAAAGGGACAGGAACCCACATTTAGGCGGAAATCCTAGCTGTTGTGGTTCGGTCTGTGGTTCTTCTTGAAAAGAACTCCTGTCCCAATGATCCTTGTTTTTGGCGTCGAGTCTCCCACCCTGACATTCCCGGGAAAGGAGGGGCGGGTCAATGGATGACACGTCTTTATCTACCGAAGACTTTCAAGTTCACAGGAGTGGAAAGGATCAAAATCCGAGCTCAGTGTTGAAAACTGTGACCAACTCAACATGGTTTGTTGGACTCGTTATGAAGCTGTTGGACTTACACGAACCCAGCTCTGAACTCCCAAACTCTGGACTCAGCTTCTGAACCCCCCCGACTCGCACCCAAAAGAAAAGAGACCTTGGCATCACGGAACAGGTTCCAACATGGCAGTCATGGTGCAGTGGGGCAGCAACACCAGATTTCTGTGGCTGTGGCACTAAGAAATCTGTAGAGAACCAGCCCAGACACTCCACAATAAGCGGAATAGAGTCCTTGCCCTGAAAGTCAATAGTCCGAGTGTTTGGCAGTGTTTGGGTGAAGGCATAGCTCCGCTCCGGAGACGCTGTGTCGAATCACAGGGCCGGCCAGCGAGCCAGGGCCGCGTTCGGAAGTGCCAGTGAAAACGAAGGCTTGGTCGAGTTCCTCTGGATGGTCCCATATATATATATATACAGTATTTGGGGGTGTCCCATTACCTGTAACAGTCTGTAAACAATGATCACCATTTTAGAAAAAGGCCTGCAACTGAACCATCATCATCCACTGTTACAGGGATTAGGATATACAAAATATATCATATGATGTACTCCTAGAATCTGTTGGACCTTTGTTTCGGAGTACCAACCAAAATGCAGTCCTTTTGTATCAACACAGGGGTCAGGTTTGGGTTCCACTCTAAGAATCCAGACCGGTCCCAGGATTCTTCAGGTTCTATGTGTTTTCATTCTCTTAGGGCGATGCCAGGCATGTTCCCCACATCTTTTGGGGTGGGTGGGGATCCCCTGCAGCTGGACCCATCCAATGATCAAACGAACCCCCAATCGAAGCCGTAGGATAGATGGAGTGGATCCGGTGGATTGGAACCTCCAAAAAGACCGGGCACAACGCCGCGTTTTTCACAAAGACCTTGGAGATTTTGGTGAGATTTTGATGGTGAAAAACATGGTAGCGTGTATGGTAGCGTGTATATCTGATGACTTGCACTATACAACTCGTCTCAGGTTCTGCTTCTTTGGAGTAAGTGTACTCCAGCCCTGCAGAGAGTAGACAGCACACTCAATTACATAGTCAGCATATATATATATATATACATCACCTGTGCACACGTGGGTCGTACCAAAACAACCCACTCCTCACACCGAAAAACGACAACAACAACAACAACAACAACAACAACAGCACCACTTGACAGACATGCCGGAAAAAAAACAAAAACAGCTGGAGTCTTGGGACCCTGAGGATGTGATCAAGTTACTGGAAGAGATGAAGTGTCAAGAGCCGCGTCGTTCCTTTACCTGGCAATGCCCTGCCTGTGCCTTGGGCGATGGCGAACGAACGAGAAGACGAACGGGTGGTCTGGGTCGGCCCAACGACCTCGGTGTCTCGGTGGGTAGCGAGCTAGGTCTCGGTCCTTTCTTTGGGTCTTTCGGTGGGCTGAAACCCACCAAAAGGGAGATTTTCACGATGCAAACACGATGAGGACGGGGGACTGCCATAGATATGATGCCTACATGCATCATGACAAGACTCTTTGGGAGTCGGCTCTGCCGACATGGGAGGTGGCACGAGGGGGTGGTGCGTCAAACAGCACGAGGTGCGAAGGAAAGCCGAAGAAGCGGAACCGGCGCCCGGTATACGTGGTATATGTGTATTCAATGTCTCGGCACTGCTGCTGCTGTCTTGCGCTACTCAAGACTGTCCGCATGTATTCAATGATCTATTTTTTTTCGACCGCTGGATGGTGCAGTTTTGGAAGCAAATGGCTGGCTCTGTGTACATGTGAGAAGGGGCAGAGTGGTTTGAAAGGCGCTTTTTCTTAACCGAGTTTATATCGTCGCTTTCCTGAGGCAAACTATTGGGCATGGACTGTGATCAGCGGCTTTACAACCACTCGAAGGGGGCCTGTGACTTGGACGATCTGGACGACGAAGTAGATAGGCCATGGCTATGGCATGCGATAGCTATATCCAGCACGGATTTCAGGTGGCTAAGTTGGAAGGAACAATACAAAAGACACATATAATCATATATATATATATACCCTGGGAGTCCAAGACCATTTCTAAAAGGGTCTTGAGGTGATCCGAGTTCAGGAACTTCCTTTACTTGGGTGGTGCCTAAAAAAGTCGAACTGGACTTCTAGGGTATATATGTATACACACACACACACATTCCAGGGATGTCGAAGACCACCCGAACTCCGGAACTGCTGGATCATATTACATCTCAACCTTAGAAAGGTGAGTGATCCCAATGAGATAGAGCCGGATCAGATGTCAGGTAACCGGTGCGGCCCGGTGGGACTTGAGGTCAGACCTGCAGTGGGAATTCACATTACATTCACAGGTTCTTCTCTTCTGCGGAGAGCGAGGATCCTTTGGGCTGCCGGAACGTTTGGAAGAGACCTATCGATCCTGGTGCCACCCGTGTAGTGGTATCATTTGTACAACACTCTTCTTGTGCCATTTTTCTGCTCCTCACCTCGGCTGGACAATTTGAGTAGCGTGGAACTGTGGGCTATGGGGTGTATCATCTGGGGGGGGTGTCGAGCACTCGGTTCTCATCACAACTGCAAGCCGCCCCACTGCCTCGCAGCGCGTCCGAGCACGCGGCGGGTCAACCGAGCCAGTGGGTGAGCTGGTGGTGGGTCAGGGGACCAATGTGTCACGGCCGGACCGGATCCGGTTGGTGCACCAAATCGGCCCATCCTCAACGCGAAGACCACATCCTGTTGACCACCAGCCATGTCGGATGGTTATTGGATGGAAAACACGTGGTAAACCACCCCAAATGGGTGGTACTAGGACCTTAGGACTAGGACTCCTTCTTCTGACCGATCCTGGTCCCTTCTCTTCACCTTCACGCACTTGGACTTGTTCGATGTTGTCCCAGACACTCCATGGGACTGCCATATATGCCGCCCCATTGACCCCCCTGGCACCACCCCAATGGGTAGGTAAATCTACCAGTCCCATTAGTCGTGTCTGGGTTGATTGGAACCATTCAAACCTCCTTTCGGTCTCCAATTCTCGGTGCGACACTTGGATTTCCCGGTTCCGGGTCTTTGCTTGGGATTTCTCATGCCATTTGGAAGCGAAGATGATCCACGGTGCTGGCTTTGCATCTTTCCGCAACAACTCGGGCTGGCTGGCTGATAGGGGAGAGGAAGGCTGGTCACAGGGGTAAGGCTTCTGAGTTCCTTTGTTCCAGCCAGCCCAAGCAGTATGGCGTCTTTTGTCGTGCTTTGGATGCCGAGGTGGGCGTTGCATCAACTGGGATGAGCTCTATTGAAGCGTGCTGCGAACGCAGTGCATGCGAACGTTCGCTCATGTTCGAGCTGTGCATTGGGGCACGGGTGTTTGGCAGCTGCAGTAGCGGCATGGTGCCCTCATGCCGAGCTGAGAGCCTCACGGCATGGTCTCGGAGATGAAATCCACCTGTTGTGTGGTCTCACAGACGAAGTCATCATCTTTCGTTTTCTGTTTTGTACATATCGTACACTGGTATCTTACCTACCTTGTTTGGCTCAGGACAAAGCTGTACGTTCTTTTTGGCTTTTTTACTTGTAAACATACGTCTGCTACCAGATTGAATCCACTGAAGTTCCCAATTCGTCTGAGGGTTGGAGATGTTGAGTCCGAGCAAGTCCTGTTTACCTTTCGGTCGCCATAGTTAGATGTCGGCAACCATGGGGGGAAGCTGTGTAATCAACGATGGTATCGCGTGATTGACAAGTCACAGGTATGTTTTTGGATTTGACAGCTGCAATCATCTTGTATCGTATTCTCCCCTGTAGACACAGGACTGGCCTGAAAGGCTACTGTGGACATTATGGGATAGCGGATAGCACTGTCCGTGTTTCTTTTCTACACTGCAGAGCAGCTGTAGGAGGATGTTTGGAGCGGTCTATCCATTTGCTGTTCATTGCAGCTTCTTGAAGCAGCATCTTTTGGCCGGCGTGGCCCCCATCAAAGAGTGTTGACCAAGAGTGTTGACGACCACCTAGGTTGGAGGCCATTACTATTAGGTTGGAGGCCATCTCTAGTAGGTTGGAGGTCATTGCTATTAGGTTGGAGGCCATTACTATTAGGTTGGAGGCCATCTCTAGTAGGTTGGCGGCCATTGCTTTTAGGTTGGAGGCTA